AATAGGGAATATTTTAAATCTGTGTTTCACAAGGGAGGATTTGAAGCACAAGTGATTAAGAGACATTTCCAAAGTCACACAGTTGACGCTCAGGGTCACTAAGACAACTGCCTGCATGCAACAGAGCTTCATACAAATTGTGTACTAAAGTCTATTCTGAAGAAATTTAAAATCTGAACAAATATCATAAGATGTTACACTAATTTGAGGGCAACACTACGCAATACAACAAATACTGTCAAATTTGTAGCATTTTGTTTAGTGAAATTCTGTATCATTTCTTTTTTTTAGTATTACTTTCTATTCTCTTTAAGAAATTAAAAAAAAAAAAAAAACTGCACAAAGAGGCATTACATACTGAAACAAGTTAAGGAAAAACCCTAGGAAACACTTCTCAAAATCTAGGGATGCACCAAGGAGTAGCTTAAGATCCTTGAACTTTCTGTTTAACATGTTGACATTTTCACAAGCACAGATGAGCACAGGCAATGCTTAACTTCATTGGTGCTACAACTCTTCCCTGCAGATAACTTATTTCCACAGAAAGCTGTGTTCATACAATAGCCAAAGATCTGCGCACGAGGATGGAGCACTAATGGCAAGGCCTGGGCCTAACTGACCGGCGGGCTTGGGCTTGGCCTTAGCCAGATGCTCGGCTCCTGCCCATATCCACCTTGGAAAGGCGCTCCCAGAGGAGGGGGGACACTGCAATCCTTTCACCTCAACATTCCTCTCAAGACAGCTGTCTCCCTCTACCCAGTTGATAGATAGGACAAGCATGTCAGAGACAAGTGAGCGGAAGGGACTCAATTATATTCAACTAACATGAGATTGACCGACGGTTTAACAGCCACTGAACAAAACCTTACTGAAAAATTGCATTGACTCTTTATACCAGAAAACATTGGCTAGCTAACCTTTTCATTCTCCATCAATCATTTGAACATCATTTAAATGTAACTGGAAGAAAAATGGAACTAAATTTCCTTGTTTTCATTTTTCTTGGCCTCTTGGTCAGGATGTGTATAAAGTGGAGCGGTTGGAAATGCTTAATTTGTTCGAGGGAAATAATGTAAATATATTATATTAGTTTTTCTTTTAATGATGATAAAACACTTTTCAACATTTTCTAGGTGTCAGCAGCCTGTTCACTGCTGGTAGTGTTAACATAACTTCTGTCACACATAATTCCTCAAAGCACCATAGTTTAGCCCAATGGAAGTTTATTTCTCATTATCGTAAATCCAGTCAGCTAAGTGGCCCAGACTGTTAGAGAACCTTCCAGCAGCAGTGAGAGAAGAAAAGAGGAATGGGTGACTGCAGGCAGCTCACCTGGCAGTGACAGAGTCGATAGCGCGCTCCACGAGGCTAGTGC